AAAATATTTCTATACGCTTGGATACTGATTCTGATTTTTGTTACATGATGATGAGATGATGAGATGAGATGTGAACAGGGTTTTTGTTACATGTTGTAACAAAAACCCTGTTACCCTGTGTGTAGTAATATATTATTAGTTTATTTAGAAATAAGTCTATATCCGGGGACAGTAAGTTGAGGTGAGACTGGGTTGAACCAATACCACACCGTAGCTGCGTGCATTTATTATCATAATCATCACTACAGCCTATGTCCACTGCTGGACATAGACCTTCACCAAAGAATGCCACAAAGCACGGTCTTGAGCCACCTGCTACTCAAGAACCTTTTTCTTCATCGGTTCTCGGTTCTTTGAGCTATATGGTCGGCCAAATGCTACTTCAGTTTACTAATCTGTTTGGCTATATCGGTCACTCTGCTTCTACTGCGGATATACTCATTTAGAAGTTTATCACGCAGAGAAACCTCTAGCATAGCTCAATGAGCGACCTTTAGCGTCCTCATACGGCCAACTGTGAAGGATCACGTCTCAGAATATATATATATAATCAGAAAGGAGATCACGAAGGTTATACTCTCCATTAAGTCTAATGCTATTGGTTGTGACAATATCAGTCGCCGTATAATTATTAATAATATAGACTATCTCTTCCCTGCTATTTCCCATATAATTTACTTCTCTCTGGATTCTGGAGTTTTCCCGTCACTGTGACGTAAAGCTTACATTATACCTCTGCCAAAAATTTCTAATCCTTCTTTACCTAATCACTTCCGACCTATATCAATTCTTCCCTTTTTATCAAAGGTGCTAGAAGCTTGTGTACACAACCAGCTATCACATTTTATCTTCTCGAATAACCTGTTAAGCTCATTACAGTCCGGTTTCAGGCCAGGTCATAACACTGTTTCCGCGCCCCTTAAAGTCACTGGTGACATTAGGTCAGGCATGGAGGAAAATAAAGTCACAGTACTGGTTTTGGTTGACTTCTCTAAAGCCTTTAATGCCATCAGTCACGACATCCTATTATCAATCCTTTCACTTTCTATGATCTCATCTGAGGCTTTGGAGTGGTTCTCATCTTATATTCGACGCCGCCGGCAGTCAGTTCGCATTGACGAGTCCTCATCAAGTTGGTTTGACTTGCATGCCGGTGTTCCTTAAGGCGGTATTCTATCTCCGTTGTTATTTTCAATATTTACCTATAAATCTCATTACCCCAAATCTTCAGTGCGCGTATCATTTGCATGCTGATGACTTGCAGTTGTACTCACACGCGAAACGTCGACTGTATATCTACAGCAATTGAGTCTCTTAATAGGGACCTAGAGTATATAAAGAACTGGTCTGACAAGTTTGGCCTTAAAGTTAACCCATCCAAATGTCAGGCTATAATAATAGGTAGCCAACGGATGATAAAGAAACTGGATCCCACAGCTTTACCGCCGATCATTTTTAACGGTTTTATTTTAGAACTGAGTAATACCGTGAAAGACCTTGGATTGCACATCGACTCCACCTTGAGCTGGAACTCAACTCTCAAAACTCAAGTGGCAAATGTTTGTCAGAAAGTGACAGGTATTTTGCGTTCTCTCTACCGCCTGAAGAGCTTTCTCCCGTTCAGGACCAAGACGATTATTGTGCAGATCTTAATTTTTCCCATTTTTGACTATGGCGATGTGTGTTATTTTGACCTGAATGCAGAACTCTTGAACAAATATGACCGTCTTCTTAATAAACACAAAATCTGTACAGTCAAAACAAACTGAAATGGACCGTAACTTAAGGCAATAAGACTTTTAGGAGTGCAGTTTTATTTGTATTATTACTAATTCTGTCATTCAATAAAAATAAAGAAAAATAAACTTTATTTCAAGCACTTTAAAGTCTTTGCGTTCGTGGATTTGTACTGTGACCACAACATTCTTCCGGAATTAGTATAACTAATTTGATAAATAATTAGTGCATAAAAATGTTTAACTAAAAATTCAGTGTATGTATTATAATTATAACATAATATACTAATTAGGGTGTCTGAGGGTGTGCGTTAATTACGTTACATATTGTATATATATTTAATTTTATGTATATATACTTACATAATATTTATATATGTATATATTTATACGCTTATATATGTATGAGTTTATATATATGTGAATATTAATTGCTGTACATACTTCTTATTACACCTACCTCTTCTATCTCTGCATTACTCTAAGGTAGACTGGTAGATAATGCCTCAGGCATTAAGTCCGCCTATATACATCTAATGTGTATATGAAGTTAAATAAAAAAAATAGAGTTTGGGTTCCGGGACATCTTGTGTCTCGAAGTCCCGGGACTTTTCGTAATTTTGACTTTAAGATACTATAAGTTCATACTGCGTAGATCAGGACAAAAATAATTTTAATCTGGAGGTAGTCGTGGTTAACTATGACGTTGGGACGTCGAACATTTCAGTCCCCTCCATGACCATGGTTGTTGGAAAGTGCTCGAAACGTCGAAAGTATAAAATAAGTTTGTCATACGCGATAAAATCAGTAAAAACTAGTTTATTTTAATGTGTAGTGTTCGCATAAATATAAGAAATAGTCACATCTATTGTTTTATTTTAAACATAGACATTATGACTAATGTTCTTTGCAAATCCTTTTGCTCTGAAATTTCATTAAAGATATTTGATTAGTTTCTTACGGATAATGACTTTTACTAGTCTTCATTGTTTTTATAATAATATCTCGCAGAAATCCGTTCATCTGCCGCTACTAACAGCTTCTTTACTTCTATATTAATAGCATACCTCTGTTTATTCTGTTGAAAATTTTCTTCATCTTTCTCATCAAAATGCTCAGAAATCGGGCTCTTAAGGTCATTGTCACACACAAACTTTTTCACGGATTCCCTTTTTCGTTTCAGAAATAATCAATAATCGCTAGAAGATAAATCTGGGCTGTAGGGTGGCTGCTCCATAATTACAAAAGCTCATTCTTTGTATAGTAGCCATCGCATGATGCGCCTTAATCACGGACGCGTTTTCGTTCAATTAATCTGTACTCGTTATAAGTCAAAATGTTTCCTACTGAATCATAAAACAACTGTGGAAATGAAGTAACCGTGTTGGGTACACTTAGCATAGTTTGTGATAATGAGATAAATAAATAATAGATTGTCTGCAAATTTATTCGATTACTTTATCGAGAACTAAACATCAGACGATAAATATGATATATATGTTTGAGATAAAATGAATAGATTTATATTAATGTACGTCGATAAAACTATTAAATGATAATTAAACCAAGAAACTTTACGCCTATAATTTAAAAATAAATAGTTTTCCACTATTATGTTTTTATTAAATACTGGAGATGTAGTATTTTCCTCTTAAATCGCACTTAAAATAATACTACACGAGCGAGGGACCTCTCGGTCAGTCACTTCGAGTCAGTCGATCAGTCTAAACGTGCCAAAGATTGCCGTGGAACCGATATTTTGCGATTTTTTTTGATTCTTAACAGTTTTAAATATTTAGGATAACAATCGTTATCCAGTTTTTATGCTTAAAGCACATGCAAGGACAGAACCCATGTAAGGATATCAACACCTAAATTTTCTTCTGTCGGCCTGTGATTCAGTATAGGTTGTATTTGATTTATTTTTACGTGGTAGAGCCCGCTGAAGCTATATTACAGTTGTAGTACGAATGGGTCGGCTTAACCATGGCAAGACCACGCTCTCACAGAATAACAGCTGAGTGCTGCTGTGTTTCGTATGGTGAGTGTAGAGAACCGGAGACCCTTTTTACTGGAATCGAGGTATCCCATCTTAGTCCCCAGGGGTGACAACGCATTTGCATTTTGATTCTTAATTAAGGATAAATGTAGATGACACTCCCAGAAATGTCAACTTTGGTCCATACTTCAAAAAAGTAATAATTGTTTTATTTTGTAAAATATTTTTATATAAAATTAAAAGAATCATCTACTGGCTCTCATTACGTCAGTATTTTAAAAGTATCGGAATTATCTATCTTTTACATTTTGACTTTTTGGATATCATTTAAATTTTTTGCCATAGTTAAATATGGATAGATCGGGTTGAGCAATATACATATTTGTTTATAGGTAAAACACAGCTTAGCAATCATAGTTCTAAAATTTCTATCATTTTGCACATTTCATGATAAAAAACAATAGCGACAGATGACACATATCAATCAGTCTATAAAATATTCAAAATAATACTCTCTAAAAGATAGTGTTAAAATCTTCTAAAAGGAGACGACAAGAATACATATAAGCCTTTAAGAAGGCTTGTATGCATATTCCATAAACACTAAGTACCAATAAATTAGCCATATGTAATAAATAAAATATTAACACATTCACGGACAGTACGCCCATTTTCGTGACATTCTGAATTTATATTACGACACAACGCCTATTTACGATAAAATATTTATTTCCTTATTTGCCACTACGTAAATAAGCGCGGTATTCGTTTACGGTTAATATGAAGATCTACTTTTACTGTCATAACCCAAACAGTATCAAGATTGTACTGTCACAACATAAAATTTTATGATAGTAAATGTGTGCTATCTACACATACATGCAAATTTTGCTATAGTACACATGTTGTGGCACCACGAATGTAGCCGTTGCGTTCGCGTCGTGAGTCAAACGAACCAGTCGCGTAGTGTCACCGGGAGGAGAGGACACGTTCGCTTGCGTCAAATCGTTCGTCGTCGTTCCTTGAATACTTACGTGTTTTTCCTGGTAAGTAATTTAGTGTTATAATATGTTATTGTCTGTATAAAGATAACCGAATAGTAACCAGTCTTTCAAAAATGGTTAATACTTATTGTATCAAAAAACCGTTAGCATAAAAAACACGATAAATTTAAAAATATAATGGAATAAACTTCATATTATTTTGTGGGTAAGTATCGACTTTTTCTTTTGTTGTGCGTCTAATTCTCTTTCAATTATCTTCAGATGGCCTCAAAAAGAAACAAATTGAGCAGAGGCAAGCCAACATCTTTATTTCGAGATGATGAATCTAACCACGATCCATATTCTGACGATGATGGTGAATATGGTTCAGACCACAATTACGAGCCCGCTGATAAAGGTGAAGATAACAGCAGTGACTACAGTGAAATTTTCGATGTTCATAGAAGTCGCTTTGAACGGAATAGACGGTCTGAAAGCGAGAAGTCGTATCGTAGTTCTGCTGGCGATCAAAGCGATAATGGCGAGCAGTTAGACCAGAATTCTGTTAATGAAAGAAGCTTTGATGAAACCGAACGTGATTCCGACATAAGCGATTGTAGTATTTTCGATCACCATCAAATTCAAGTAGCAGGGAATGAGAAAGAAAGCAGCGTTCAAAGGTATGAAAGTCAAGAGAACAATGCTGTTAGAAATCATAAAGATAACAATGATATTCACTTACAACAAAATTATGAGCTACCGGAATATAGAAATCAACAAGACGAAGAAGAAATAAGAATGAGTCTGGAGATTAATGAGGTGATTGGTGTTCAATTTCCAAAAATTCAGGAGCCTTCTCAGGATAGAAGAGGAGAAAAAAAACTTACAGCCCGAATGAGAGAGGAGCTGAATGATGTGGTTCAAGATCAATCTCCACAAAATCAAGCACAATCTCAGGCAAATTTAAATGAGGCTGGACCGAGCAGAAGAAGAAGTTCAGTAAATACAGTACGTCGAGGGACTCCTCCACCAAATGACACAATTTGGGAAGATACTGTCTCAAATATTGCTTCTATTGACTTTAGATCTCCAGAGAAAGGCCCGCCATTTGAAGTTCATGAAAATACCACATGCGAGGAAGTATTTGACAATTTATTTACCACAGAGATGATAGAGTATTTGGTTGAACGAACAAATTCCTATGGAGCTGCTCTTACCAAAACAAATAGGCCACATACACGTCATGCACGCAATGCTGCCTTTCGAGCAACAAATCCTGAAGAGATGAAAAAAATTTTTAGGTCTTACTTTATTAAATGGTCACATTCGTATTCCACAACAAAGGAAACTTTTTACATATGACGACCCCTTGTATTTTCACCCTGTCTTTAACTATACAATGTCTTGCAGAAGGTATGAGCAAATTTTAAGATGTCTGTATGTAGGTGATTTGGGTGCGAAAGAGTCTGGAAAAATTGAAGGTTTTATAAACACAGTGAGTGAGAGTCCTTACGTGGTAGAGTCATGCTGCAGTTATATTAGTAGTAAAGTTGTAGCACGAATGGGTCGGCTCGACCGGGGGAAGGACCACGCTCTCACAGAATACCAGCGTGAAATAGTAGCTTAATGCTGCTGTATTTCGTATGGTGAGTGTAGAGAACCGGAGACCCTTTTTACTGGAAACGAGGCATTCCATCTCAGTCCTCACGGGTGACAACGCATCTGCATTTTGATTCGTAATTGAGGATAGATGTAGATGTCTATGGGCCGCAGCAACCACTTACCATCAGGTGGACTGTGTGCTCGGTTGCCACCCTATTCTATATAAAAAAAAAACTCAAAATTTTCGAAATGTATTCAATCCAGGTCAAGACTTGTATCTTGACGAGTCTTTGCTACTATATAGAGGACGATTAATATTTCGTCAGTACATAAAATCAAAAAAGCTAGGTATGGCATAAAGTTTTACGGTTTAACTACAGCGGATGGATACGTTTTAAATATTATAATGTATAGCGGAGCAGAAAATATTGAAGCCAATGAAAGGAGGACTGACAAACTGGTACTGCGTTTAATGCGCCCATATCTTTTAAAAGGGCATAACTATTTTATGGACAATTACTACAATTCAGTGACCCTTTCTGAAAAATTACTTGATTTGAAAATACACACCAACGGCACGCTGCGTAAGACAAGAAAAGACAATCCTAAAGAAATTGTACAAAAGAAACTCCAAAAAGGCCAGCATGTGTGGGCTAGGAAAGGAAAAGTCTATGTAAGTGCCTGGAAAGATAAAAGAGACGTCTATATGGCTACCACCATGGATCATCCAGCGCTCATTGAAGTCACAAACCGATTTGGAAAAAAGAAAACTAAACCCATAGAAGTGAACAGATATAACAAATCCATGTCCGGTGTTGATCGCTTGGATCAGATGATAAGTTATTATTCATCACCAAGAAAAAACTATAAGGTGGTATAAAAAGGTCCTATTTCATATTATGGACACCGCAGTTTGGAATTCCTTTTACATTTATAAAAATTTTGTGAAAAAAGATAAGAAGTATGAGTATGTGACATACAGAGAAGAGTTAATCAGGAAATTGATCGGCCTGAAAGAAGAAAAAGGAAAAGATTTAATTCGAAATTACAACAACAATGACAGCAGGCGGTATGTGCTTCAAACTGAATCACAGGTTCATGAAAATATTGAACGCAGTAAGGTAGAAACGCAGGACAACTTTTCTCAGCCAAATTCAGGAAACCATGGACATTGGCCGACTCACATGATGCCATCTGCAAATTCTAAGAAGAAGTACGCATTTTTGACATGTAAGCAATGTTCGAAACAAAAGGTACGACGTGACACAAGTTACTTCTGTAAAGGTTGCAATAATTCTCCAGCACTTTGTCCTTCATGTTTCGAAGATTGGCATAAAGATTTGTAAACTGTCAAGTGTAATTTTATAAATACATAGATTATCATAATATCAAGGATGACATTTTAAATATTCCTTATTTAAAATGTCATCCTTGATATTATGATAATCTAGATTTTATAAAATATTGTGATACTACATTTAAAAAAAAGACTGTCTGTTATGCTTAAGTTAGTTAGCTTTTTAGCTTATTAAAAAAGGGAGACCTAGAAAAATAATAATTATGTGTTAATCGAGAGAAAAGACGTATCTGATAATTATTTTGTTTTGTTAATTATTAACCAAGTTTAAGTTAAGAAAATATTTTTGTTTAAATATAAGACTGTTATTTTGTTTTTTTTTTTAAGTTTGGTATAAAAATATGATTTTCCATAGTTTTGATTTATTCAATAAAACATTTTTTTTGTTTCACAAAGTTTTGATTATTATCATCATGATTCCTATGGTAGGGACGTAAACTGACGTACTGTCATACTACACTTATTTATACACATAATCTTGATAGCAACATGGCAGTATGCCTATTCGCGATGCGTACAGAGACTTACTGTCATATGCACAAGATGATATCAATCACGATGCGACAACACGACTATTTCGTGGCACGTACCGAAGCGTACTGTCGTATGAACGCCATAATTTTAATTACGATGTGACAGCACGACTATTTCGTGCCACGTAAATAAGCGTACTGTCAATAGAAGACCATAATTTAAATTACGACGTGGCAGCACGTCTATTTCGTGCCACGTACATAAGCGTACTGTCATTAGAAGACTATAACTTTGACTACGATATGACAGCACGATTATTTCGGGCCACGTACAGAAGCGTACTGTCTCACCACAATTGTACAAATATATCGCTATGTGTCAGGAAGTATATAGGCGTGGTAGTAATTTGTATGGAATTTTTTAGTGTCATATTTCAAACTTGGTGCAGTGTCCAGTGTCCGTGAAAGTGTTAATAAATAATCTCCATCAGTCATGGAATTAAAATATTTTTATGGTAATACAAACAAATCTTTTGCTTTCACGATTTCTAATTATTTTGGACAGGTTTCTTTCGTCATATAAGTTTCAACAATTTATTTTTCTTCAAAACTGATATAATTAATGTGAATGCCAACCAAAGCCTACATTTTCGTAAGTTCACCACACATTATTGGTTAAAATGGTAAATGTGCCTTTGTTTCTGCGGTTAGTCGTGCGTAGTTGTTTATTTCAGGCAACAGATGCGTCATCACAATGTTTTTAAGCCCAATTAATATTCATCATCATCATCATTGTCATCATTACAGCCTATTAAAGCCCACTGTTGTAGATAGATTTTTCCATGGATTGCCACATAATATAACACCACTACAAAGACATCACCATCGATAAAACGACGGTATTATGTCGATAATATAAGTACAATAGAGAAATAGACCGCTACGAATAGAGACAAAACATATTATGTCGTCGTCAAGTTGAAAGGCTGCAGCCTTAAATTAAATGGGTTTTCTTATCCTTTAAGCTGAAACACAGTAGGGGTTTCCTTTGAGAAATAGGTAAAAAGGTCGAAACGAACTCAGAAGAGATGCTCTAACTAAATATGAAAAAAAAAACAAAGAAATTATCAGTTATCTCTTTAATTAAAATGAAGATTTAAATATTATTATTGAATTAATTTGTTGATAAGAATAAGTATAAATATCTAATTGAAACCTATCGGAGAAGTCATTCATTAGAATCAATAAGCAGCGGTATTATCTAGAATTGAAACATTAATATTGATTGCAAAATGTCGTCACTTAACTTTCCTTTCGAATTTCGTTCCGACGAGAAAGAAAATAAGAAATTGCGTAAATATTTTATTGGTGAGTAAAATTAGTCTAAAATGACTTTTATATGACATCTATTTAATTTGTTTTAAATTACAGTTTATAGGTATATATAATTAAAGTCTCTGTTTTATTCTCTTTCGTGCAGCAGAATACTATCGGGCTTGACAAAAAAATTCTACAATCAGTTTTTTCTTTATTTATTTGTAATTTTTTAAACGTTACTTTTTTCAGTTTTATTATGTAGAGTTTTATATTTAAAAATGCAATGGTTTAAAGTAAGTTTGAAATAAAATGCAAGAATAGGCATTAAGAAACTGTTTGAAATTTTCTTTTATACAGAAAAAACGAAATATTAACAATTTCCAGGAAAAAGCTACGAAAAATGTGTTCAAAATGTGGTAGAGCCAAGCTGCAGCTATATTATAGTTGTAGCACGAATGGGTCGGCTCGACCGAGACAGGACCACGCTCTCACAGAATACCAGCGTAAAATAGCAGCGTAATGCTGCTGTGTTTCGTATGGTGAAAGTAGAGAACCGGAGACCCAATTTACTGGAATAGAGGCATTCCATCTTAGTCCTCAGGGGTGACAACGCATTTGCATTTTGATTCTTAATTGAGGATAAATGTGGTCTATGGGCCACAGCATCCACTTACCATCAGGTGGACTGTGTGCTCGTTTGTCACCCAATGCTATAAAAAAAGAAATGAAATATTAACAATTTCCAGGAAAAAGCTACGAAAAATGTGTTCACGTCGGGCCAAAGAATTATACGATGCTAAATGAATATGAAAAAGACGCTGCTAATATTTACAATATGCCTCTGAGATCGGATGATATATTTGTTACCAGCTTTCCACGATCAGGTATCTATCAGGATTTGCTTCCTTTAATTTATTTCATAGAGTGTGTAGCGGTATTTAATCTATAAGGTATGTGCGGGTAACATGGTCACCTTTAGTTTTGCCGCCCTACAAAACCAAAACTAGGAAAAGGTCAGAGACCATACAAAGTCGTATACTATAACTAATATATTAATAAAAAATAGCAAACAAACTTTGGCTTTATTAGGAACACTTCAAAAAATCAACTCAAAAAAACTAACTACACTACATCATACTATAATCGACTAAAATATTCAACTGTCAAAATGGTATCGATAAAGCAGCACCCTTTTGACCCTTTATTATTCGATTTAGCGATGAAGAGCTATCGTATCACAAAGCCGTATATGCAACCAAGGCTGTAGTTTTTGAATCATAAGAAAGTGACCATATTACCCTCACGTACTATATTAATGAGCCTTTTTTCACGATTAGCAAAACGAATCTAAGAACTGTGATGAAAATTGTATTACGGCGTCTCTACACGTTGGCCAACACAGTGGCGAATGTAGTGGCCAATAGCATTGGCCAACGTGTAGAGCGGGTGTTTGGGCTTCATTGGTATGTATTGGAAAGATGGCCCACAAGTTGGCGCGAGATCCGTGTGGTATCGGTTTTTTACAAAAGATCAAAGGATTGTTGGCAGAGTTTAGTCGACACGTTGGGCTCGCGTTTAGTTTGCTATAAGCTCCCAGAGTGATTACACGCATCTGATTTAAATTTTATATTCATGCTTCGTAGGGTGGATGCCCCAGTTACCAGCCTTTTATTGCCAATGTCAACTTTAAACATTCCTACTACTTTAATTAGCGCGATTTAATTATTTTTAAAAATTTGTTTTAATCGATAAGCTATTTATCAAAAATAAATAATAATGAACATTTATTTACAATCAGATTATTACGAGAACAATTTTAAAATGAAAAAAAAAATAATAATGAAGCACGTCGTTTATACGTAGTAGAATCATGCAGTTATATTAGAAGTATAGTTGTAGCACGAATGGGTCGGCTCAACTGGGGAAGGACCACGCTCTCACACTCACTGTGTTTCGTATAGTGAGTGTAGAGAACCAGAGACCCTTTTTAAAGGAAACGGGGCATTTCATCTTAGTCCTCACGGGTGACAACGCATCTGCATTTTGATTCATAATCGAGGATAGATGTAGATGTCTGTGTACAACAGTAACCACTTACCATCAGGTGAACTGTGTGCTCGTTTGTCACCATATCCTATAAAAAACAACGTCGATTTCGTATAATTTAATCGTGCAAGTTTTCGAATCATCATCATCATTACAGCTCTTCAGAAGTCCACTACTAAACATCCTCCTCCACAGACTGCCGCAAAGCATGGTCCTGAGTCACTTTCCTTGATAATCGGAACCCTCGGGGCTCAGGGCTTGAGTGCTGCTTGCTATTGTCTGTTTTATTTCAACTTGATTCGTCCATATTTTGTTAAAAAACCCCACTTTTGTAAGGAATTTTCTTCTTAAATTTCATAATTTATATTTTCAGGGACGACATGGACACAAGAATTGGTGTGGCTTTTAGTAAATGATTTGGATTATGTAAAGGCAGCTGCTGAACCTCTCACGTCAAGATATACATTTATAGAGTACGTATTTCTACATGACAATAAATTTGTTACCGCGTCTTTTTGTAATAATTTTAATTTCATTATTACGTACTAGTGAATTGCCCCGGCTACGGCTAGCTGACTACTATATAACTGGTTTATATTCTTTTTATAGAGTAAGATAGGCACACGAGAGCAGTCTATCGGATAGTAAGTGGATAATGTGGTCAATATGCGCCCATAGGACTAAACATATATGTAGGCTCCAGCGTTGCTGTACCACGTTATTTTATTTATTCGTTATATTATGATTTCTTATACATATTTGCATGTTGTATTATGCAATCACTACACATTGAATAAAACCATTTTTACGATGAAATCTGAACCGTAGAGCACAAAATAACTGAAATAGTGACCGTATATAGCAATATAACGAATAATGAATTAAACTATTTTTACGATCTGGGTTGTAGATTTCAAAATAACTGAAATATTGTCTTAATACCGTATAATATATAGCATGGAACTAAGGGAGCTGTACCCGCGACTGGTCATAGCTGCTGGTGATAAGAGCGCTGGTTCTTTTCTCGCTCAAACGTTAAGTATAGCCATCCGGAGGAAACGCAGCCAGCGATCTCGGCGCGATACCATGGGGAGTGGGACTCTTTGATAATTTAAATATTCAGTTTTAGTTTTTTTTTTATGATAGCTTTTAATTTTGTTACCTTTTAGTTATATTTAATTTTAAATTGTGTTTTAAAAATATACGTAAGTATACTTAAAATTGTAAATTACAGATTCCCAATGTTCATGAATAAAGATTCAGTAAGCGAACTTAAAAGTGTCAGTAAACATAACGAGGAGTGGAAAAAACTAATTGATTATTTTAGCAAGCCCGGCTCTGAAGTGATCGCCGAAAAACCGTCGCCACGTTTTATCAAAACTCACGTTCCCATGTCTCTGCTGCCACCTCATTTACTCGATATTGCTAAAGTTGTGTATGTGGCACGCGATCCTCGGGATGTTGCCGTTTCATTTTTCCACCATAATAGGCTTTTTAAGATGACACATTTTGTCGGCGATTTTAAAACTTATTGGCATTTCTTTGTTAGAAATATGGGTGAGTAATGCGTAAAATTTTGTTGCTTTAGCAAATATAATATGTTTTTATATAACAAAATCATTTAAAAGGTTTAGTTTTTACAAGAGCAAGACACTCAAAGATACACACAGTTGATCTGATTCAAAATATGTTTTGTAGGGTAATTTAAAATAAATGTGTGTGTGACCGATTTACGTAATTCGTATGCTAAAGTGGCACTACCGATAGGAAGAAAGGTGTAGCATCGATGGAGTGATGACCTGATAAGATAATATGCAGTCAGTCTATGAATGCAGGTGACTCAGGATCGTGCTTTGTGGCATTCTTTAAGAGAGGCTTATGTTTAGCAGTGGACTTGTGATGGACTGTGATGATGATGATGATAATGTCATTCTTCCAATAACTTTCTATTATTGCAGTCAAATATAGAAAAATATCTTGTTTCGATGTAAGAAAGCTAAGACTTTAGAAATATTAAATCCTATTATTGTCCATTAGTTTGTATGTGTCGTAAATATAATGTATTATTTGCTTAAAACTGAACTTACCGACGCTACTTCTATTCTAATGTTCAACTATCCTTCAATAGGTCTACTGCAAGAAATTTAACCATGGAATAAGCACGACCTATGCACAGGTGTTCTTTCTTCAGTTTTCCTCTCGTAGTATATGTGTACATAAAATATCAAATAAATTAATATATGAAATAATAGAATAACTTCTACATTTGAGCTTGCTTACCCATCCAACCGGAACACAGCAGTAGAAGGACTGCTCCAACTGTCAGTCTCAATTGCATGCAGAATATTTCCATGACTAATGCGTAGTAGATTTTCACTACATATATTTGCTGGATACGCGGGTCCCACCGAAGAAGGACCACGCTAGCACAAAATACTACCATATAATAGTAGCATAAAGCTGCTCTGTTTCTTATGGGCAGTGTAGATAAAAGAAGATCCTTTCTTACTATTAAAGAGACATTCGATCTCCACCCTCAGGGGTGACAACGCATCTGCATCTTGATACTTAATTGATTATAAATGTAGGGCCGCAGCATCCATTTACCATTTGGGGCTCACTTGGCAGCTATACTTGCATGTAAAAAGAAATTAAATTAACATGATATAAATTTTTCAGTTCTTTGGACACCATTCTTCGATCATTTGAAAGAAGCATGGGATTTGCGTAACCACCCCAACTTACTGTTTTTATTCTACGAGGACCTTTCTAAGGTTTGAAAAAATATTCCTTTTAAAACATGAAAACCTTTAATATAGGAAATATGGGTTTACATTGCTGACGAGAATGTGGTGACCTTATAACGCATTTAATTTAACTTTTTTGTTTTTATAGGATAACGTGACGCATGGTAGCCTTCCTTGTTGGAAGATGGCTGCAGGTGTCCGTGTACTGCATTAGCCACTTACCATCAGATGCGCTGCTAAGTTTTTGCCACTCTCCTTTTTTAAAGACAAAACATAAAAAAACCTTTCTTAGCAATTTTTACTTGTTAAAGCATATTATGAATTTGAAAACCATTTGCTTAAAAAATTATACATTTTAAAGCTTTTATATTATCCCGCATTTGAATGATAAAATCATCACCGTCTATATATATATATATATATATATATATATATATATATATATATATATATGAAAATAAGCACCTTAGGAAAGAAAGCCCAACCCTCCTATTTTGCGTATCTATTGCTGCAAAAAAGTACCCTTGTTATCCTGGATTAACTACCACCATACTTAATGATAAATATGTCCAGTAGTATTTGCATGAATTACAAATATATAGAAAGATAATTATACATATAAAAATTATAAAAATTACTAGAGATTTTTAAGTCTTTTTTTGTTCATGTTATTGTTGCATCCTTTGCTTATCCTCCTAGACTTGTTCTTTTCCAGAAAATATGTAAATTATGTACACAATGTCGCTATACATATATGTATAGTTCCAAATGGATAGCATAACTAGTGTAAGCCAAGCTTAAGTGAAAAGTGTATTTGTATAAAAATAGTTGCATTTTTTTAGCGGCTAAAATAACATTTAAGTGAGAAAATCTGTATTCGCATAAAATGCATGTTGATTGATAGACTCCACTATGTACCGAAGTATATTTTAATCGGGTTTTATTACGATTCTTTATTTCGCCTTTTGTGGTAATAAAGCACATTGCAAGTATAAGTTATAGTCACAGACCTCTAGTTATAGTGGTGCGTGCTTACGTGGACAGAACTTAGGCTACAAGCGGATTTTTTCTTCTTCTTCTTCTTGATAAACAAAAGGTTCAATTAATTTAACATTTATTTTTCTTGTATAAGGATTTACCTCGCATCGTGCGCCTTGTTGCTGACTTTCTTGGTAAAGAGTATAATGATGAACAAATTGCTGACTTATGCTCACATCTCCATTTTGAAAACTTTAAAAATAACCCTTCTGTCAACATGGATGAACTGAAGGAGTTGGATTTATATCGACCAAATTTTATTAGAAAGGGTAAATATACTTGATTTTTTAATATTTATTATTGTTAAAAATTAATACAGCACTTATATAGATATTCAGATGAAAACATCACCACGTAAATTATATTGAACTGGGTAAGAAGAGAATGACTTGACAAGACTTATTGAGAGTCTCTGGTTCTAGTCACAGACAATATGAAATTCAGCAGCATTATCCTGCTATTTTATTAGCGCTGCTATCCTGTAGCGTTGTTCTTCCGTTTTAGAATAGACCCAATAGTGCTGCAGCCGTAATATAGCTAAAGAGTGGTTCTACCACGTAAAAACCTACGCCTACCTCGCCCACATCATTTTAATATCTCAAATAATCAAAAAACTCACATCACACATAATTTTAATAATATATTTAATATAATTAAATATATTATTAAAATGATATGGTAGTGTAGGTAATTTGTAATGAATGTTAAGCATTCGCTAAAAAAATGCACAATACGCGAGCAACCTCTAGCTCCAAATTCAATAACCGCCGAAATCATTGAAATTGTTAATCACAAAGAACATTCTAAGAAGATAATAAATATGCCATACTTGCCGCGCTTAAAAAGAGGATCGACAACCGCGGTTTCTGTAAATTTTAGCTTTTATTGGGAAGACGCTGCTGCCCATCTGATTTGTTACCATCTGTCAACTTTTACGACACCCACGAGATGATATGGGGTAGTGGATATTCTTACACAGCCACTTCTTGGTAGATCCTTAATTTGTGTCATGTACTGTGTAAATATCATAGAATACTATAATACACAATAAAATGGCTGTCAACCTTATTTTGTACGAGGATCCGTGTTACCGGGAGCACACATAAAAGCAATTACGTCGTATTATCACTACTACAAACCCGATTCGCTGTGTTCACGGACTGTGCGAATTCACACATTTTAAACTTTTGATTAATGTTTTTGACACAAAAATATTTCTTTATTTTTGTTTCTAATATTCACAAAATATGAATAGTTTTGACTTACTGATTTTAGGATACGTCTCATTTATTTAAATTCCGTTTACCGCTATTCTTTCGACACGTAATTATTGCACAATTTGCCATTTTGAAATAGTTTGCCTGCAGCGATGCTTGACACGAAAATTGGAAACGATTGATTGTGTTGACATTTATATATGTGATTTGACATGTTAGTGGCTACACGAGCTCCGCCCACTCCCCCGTTCTATTATGTATGTATTATAGTATTTTATGGTAAATATACATATAGACATCTTTAATAACTTTAAACACCCGTATGTTAAGAACCTTCGTAAGGATAGTACTGTATCCTCAAGTGGTAGGACCCTTTTTTGCTTGGTACTCTGTCTGGATAGGTTCAACTCTTTTATCTACTTCCGCCGCCTACGTGTTCCCATCATAAAGGTAATTACATTCTGTAAAGGCCTGCAATATTATCCTTTAGAAGTAACAAAGCACTCGTAGACTTTGTTTAAAGTTGGTTACAGGTGTCCATGCGCTGCAGCAGCTATTGATGGTAACATCAGGTGGATTGTAAGTTCATTAAAATAACACGCTTTGATCATGAACTGTGAATATTCTAGTGAGTATATTAGGTCGCAGTTATGACATTATTGTATTGTTATCGATTCTCAATACGTCTGCGAGAATGGAAAATTTTCATTAAGGACGCGTTTGCAAATCAACCAAAATTAGGGTGTTTTTCGGTAGATTTTGTGACAAAACTAAACCAAATCAAATATAAGTAAAAACTACCATGTATATATTGGTTCTGCAAACGTCTGTAACTCTTTTGTTGAAAATAGTAGTTTTTTATATTGTAAAAACGAATTTTTGTTGCCATTTTCTACAAAATTAACGATACCGGCTTGTGTTTCGGTACATGTTTTGGTCTATTATCAACATATTTAAAAAAAATTTAAAAAATACTATAAGATGACAGACATATTCAATTAAAAAGCCCTGTGTTTATTTTTTATCGAAATGTCACAAATAGTCGTAGAAAAAATAAAAACTGATGCACATTTTTTCACATATTTTGCTAATACGGATAAATCATAATCTATTGCAATAAGGGCTATTTTATTGTTGGTGCCTGCTTTGATTTATTGTACAAAGATTTCGATGAAACGACAGTCCGCGCTTGGCCGCCGTCGTGAGTGGACACTGTATCGCCTGTTTGCAGCGGCTCATTCTGAAAAGATCGCTGTACATACACAAAATATTAGAAAAAAACAAATTGGAAACATAAGTACTTGACAAGTGATAAAATTATTATTTTTATACTCACAGTTTTTTATTTAGCTAAAAATAAGTAGGATATGTAAACTTACCTACTATTGCAACTTCTGGACGAGCGGAACTAGGTGTGCCGAGTTTGGGCTCGTTTTGTTGGTTATGATGAGACCTTACCTCCGGACTTGATAGCGTGACCTGAAGGTGTACTTTCGTGACCGCTATTTGAACTTCTTGCAGAGTAAAACTAGGGGTGGCGAATTTGGGCTCCGTTTTGTTAGTTATGACGAGTCCATACCTCCGGACTTGATGGAGTGACCTGAAGGTGTAAATCGGTGATTGCAACTGGAACTCCTAGACTGGTAGAACTAGGTGTGCCGAGTTTGGGTTCGTTTTGTAGGTTATGATGAGACCTTACCACCGGACTTGATGGAGTGACCTGAAGGTGTAGTTCTGTGATTACAAGTGGAACTCCTAGACTTGTAGAACTAGGTGTGCCGAGTTTGGGTTCGTCTTGTTAGTTATAATGAGACCTTACCACCAGACTTGATGGAGTGATCTGAAGGGGTAATTCAGTAACTACTGGTGGAATATCTGAACGAGTAGAACTAGGTGTGCCGAGTTTGGGTTCGTTAGGTTATGATGACACCTTACCACCGGACTTGATGGAGTGACCTGAAGGTGTAGTTCAGTGATTACAAGTGGAACTCCTAGACTTGTAGAACTAGGTGTGCCGAGTTTGGGTTCGTTTTGTTAGTTACGATGAGACCTTACCACCGGACTTGATTGAGTGACCTGAAGGTGTAATCAGGTGGTTACAAATGGAACTACTAGAACTAGGTGTGAGGAGTTTAGTTTCGTTTTGTTAGTTACGATAAGACCTTACCACCGGACTTGATGGAGTGAAATTCGGCACACCTAGTTCTACTGGTTCAGAAATTCCAGCAGTAGTTACTGAATTACCCCTTCAGGTCACTCCATCAAGTCTGGTGGTAAGGTCTCATCATAACTAACAAAACGAACCCAAACTCGGCACACCTAGTTCTACAAGTCTAGGAGTTCCACTTGTAATCACCGAACTACATCTTCAGGTCACTCCATCAAGTCCGGAGGTATGGACTCGTCATAACTAACAAAACGAAGCCCAAATTCGGCACACCTAGTTCTACTCGTTCAGAAATTCCAGCAGTAGTTACTGAATTACCCCTTCAGGTCACTCCATCAAGTCTGGTGGTAAGGTCTCATCATAATTCTAACAAAACGAACCCAAACTCGGCACACCTAGTCCTATAAGTCTAGGTGTTCCACTTGTAATCACCGAACTACACCTTCAGGTCACTCAATCAAGTCCGGTGGTAAGGTCTCATCATGACCTACAAAACGAACCCAAACTCGGCACACCTAGTTCTACCAGTCTAGGAGTTCCAGTTGCAATCACCGATTTACACCTTCAGGTCACTCCATCAAGTCCGGAGGTATGGACTCGTCATAACTAACAAAATGGAGCCCAAATTCGGCACACCTAGTTCTACTCGTTCAGAAATTCCAGCAGTAGTTACTGAATTACCCCTTCAGGTCACTCCATCAAGTCTGGTGGTAAGGTCTCATCATAACTAACAAAACGAACCCAAACTCGGCACACCTAGTTCTACAAGTCTAGGAGTTCCACTTGTAATCACCGAACTACACCTTCAGGTCACTCCATCAAGTCCGGTGGTAAGGTTTCATCATAACCTACAAAACGAACCCAAACTCGACACACCTAGTTCTACTAGTCTAGGAGTTCCACTTGTAATCACCGAATTACACCTTCAGGTCACTCCATCAAGTCCGGTGGTAAGGTCTCATCATAACCAACAAAACGAACTCAAACTCGGCACACCTAGTTCCACTAGTCTAGGAGTTCCTGTTGTAATCACCAAATTACACCTTCAGGTCACTCCATCAAGTCCGCAGGTAGGTAAGGTCTTATTATAACTGGCAAAACCAGTTCAAAGTCCAGAGCTAACATCTCACTACCAGTAGAGGGCTTCCAGTGTCAAGCAGTCTCTGGAGCAGGTATTCGTATTTCGTATTGAAGTGTATTTCTGAGGTAGGTATAAGAAATGAAAAACAAATTCAATCTTTCAAATTATCAAAATAATTTCATTTGACTACGATTCCCACAGCCAACCGTGCGTACACTAGTGTGTGACTTTTGTCAATGTAGTAGTGCGATTCTATACCTATCAATTTTGTAAACGCGTCCTTAAATTCATAAATAAATTTAATTGACACACGAACATGCAAGTTAAACTGATACAACCTTTTTAAAAACTGAATAATTTCAGGCAAAGCTGGCGGTTGGCGTGAGTACTTCGATGATGAAATGACCCAGGAAGCTGAACGCTGGATCATGGATAATTTGAAAGACACTGACTTACGATTTCCATCCGCACAATAGTTAGAACTAGTGTAGCCTGTGATTGGAATTTCCCCAATTGTGTGCAAACAACGCTAAGCTTTTGGTGCAATTTTTTTTGTTATATTTTCCTTTGCATTGTAGGCAAAGAGATTGTTTAAGATTTATCTAATTAGGATTATATTTTATCCAGTTTATATTTCATCTATTAGATTTTATCAAATTAGAGTATCTTGAAAAAAATTTTCGTTTTGTATGGAAAAATTATGTGGATGTGGAAGGATGTGTATATATTCACTTATTTACTTGTCTTAACTGAAACACACACTCATAATTTTCTTTTTGTACGCATCTCACAGTACCTTTCGAATGATTTAAGTTTTAATTATCCTTTTAAATATATATCATTAAAATATGTTGTAAGAATATGGAAATGGATTTTTTAAATTGCAATGTATTAAAAATATATTGGTCGGAATCTTGTATTACTGTCCCCTGATATAGACTTGTTTCTAAATAAACTAATGATAAAGTTCAATAGAATGCCACTTAAATTACTATTAATTTGTCAGATGGAATAAAATCCGTATAAATAGTTTATTCCATAGTGTTTGCGTAAATATAAGAAATCATTAATTAAAAAAAATAATATTAACAATGCTATAAACATTACTAATATTCCCATTAACCACTCGTGGTACGCTTAAATTGCTTGTGTTACGAGTTGTTCACGCCAGTAGTCGAATGGCGGATTGGAACCCACAACCTTTTTGAGTTAGAGGTCCGCGCCCTGCCATTAGGCTACTGTTGTCAGACTTATGATTTAATTGCCACGTTTAGCGAATTGATTTAACTAAACTTATGTACTGGGTATTGTGTAAACAAAACTATGATTAAGAGAAGTTATTTAATTGAATATATAGGCTGTCAATCGGTATAACAATAATTTTACCAACTTTATTAGTTATCTCATGTAACTAATTGAAAATTAAGTGCACTTTTAAATTTAAATCTCTTTTTGATGGAATAGTTCATGGCATGGTAGGATGACAAATTACTAGGTAAATATGGCCCACAATGGTGCAAGATTTTTATCAGTTCTTATGAATTTTATTTAAACAAATACAATCGAAGATTTTATGGCACGGGGGCAAAACGTGTACGATCCTCGCAAGGTTCAATGAAATAGGTTTAGCAAATTTTATCAATATGAGAAAGGAAGGATGATCAGTGAAATGATGAAGAAAAACTTCGTAGGACCACAAATATAACTGAAAAGTAAAAGAAATTCGTAGGCATGTGAAAACCGTTAATACGCATTGCGGCGGACTCTTTTCTGTCCACAAAACACTATAGTTACCCCTTTTACTGGCAACAAAGCATTCTAGTTATTATTATCAGTAGTCTAGCATTTTTAGAGGACTAAGAAATTACATTCTTAGAAAAGATGTAGTCGAGAATTGTTTTTGTAGATGTAGTTGTCTCTGGGTCACAGCAATTATTGATCATCAGGTGGACTGTGTGCTCGTTTGTCACCTACAAAAAAAACCTACCTACAAAAAAAATTGGGAGTAATTTGCAGTCCTAAGACGTACATAAGCTACTATTTTTCTTTTTTACATTCAATAAGAATTATAAAACGGTGTTTCATATATTACGATAGCTTAGAAAATTTCAGAAATATTTACGTAAATGAACAAGTTCTTGCGAAAAAGTACTCTAAATATCAAAGAAAGCTAATTTTACATAAACACCGACTTATTTTTAATTAAACTTTGAGTAGAACTTTTAAAATGATATATACACTTTTATTGAAAAATTAACCCATAATTCACTCACGTATTTACTGGTGAACACATAGCCTGAATTTGATTGAAATTGATTTCATTACATTCGAATGAAACTGCTTTTCACTTAGTGGACGTACTTAAAATTGTAGATTTTGAAGAAACTTTGCGATCTTTTTCTATCGAGCCAAAATGCGTCAGTCGTGTTTTGGCTACCATATTTAACTAAGAATAATCTTTAAACTTAAAAATTATCTTTAACTTTAAATTAATGAATAAACTGTGAATTCATAAAAAAGAATTTACAAAAATATGATTTTTTGCGCACCCTTAAAGCGTGAAAAATCTGCTTTTGGCGCCCACTTCATCTTAAATATCATTTCACGCGACAAAACGTTAGATATTTCATTTTTCAGGCGCTAGTTAGCGCGCTTTACGCTTATGGCATGCAATAATTGTTGGCGCTTTAATTTTTCTGTACACTATCTCTTTGCCGTGTAGTGGCGGTTGAGAATATCCACTACCCCATATCTTCCCCTGGGTGTCGTAAGAGGCGACAGAGGGAGACAGGCAGGAGGTGGGCAGCAGCATCTTCCTGATAACAACTGTGATATAATAAAAAACTGCGGTTGCCAACCCGCTTGCCAAGCGTGGCAACTATGGCAAATATCCCCCCATGAATAACGACGCAAAAAACGGCCCCCAGTCCCCGGCGGCCCCGCTATTCCTGGCTACGGTGGCGACTATGGTAACGGCGGGGCAGGGGGTGCTAAGAACCTCCGGTGTAGGTTCGGTTGCCACCTACGACGACTCGACCTGGCAACATATAACGCACGCACCCTGAGGACTGACGAGAAGATACTGGAGCTGGAAGAAGAGGTAGACAAGTTGCGCTGGCATATTATTGGATTATCCGAGGTCCGAAGAGAGGGGGAGGACACGGCAATCCTCGAGTCTGGCAACATGTTCTACCACCGGGAGGGCGACCATCTGTCCCAAGGAGGTGTCGGATTTATCGTCCACAAGTCTCTCGTCAACAACGTCGTAAAGATTGGGAGTGTGTCGACAAGGGTCGCGTACCTGATACTCAGAATCACCAAACGGTATTCGCTGAAGGTCATACAGGTTTACGCACCAACTTCGGCACATCCCGATGAGGAGGTGAAGGAAATGTATGAGGATATTTCCAGAGCCATGCATTCCTCCAAAACCCACTGCACGGTGTTGATGGGAGACTTCAACGCAAAACTGGGCAGTTTTGCGTTGACAAGAAAGAACGGTGAGCTGAAGGTAGGGAAATTTGGAGTAGGGCAACGGAACCGAAGGGGCCAGCTGGCCGACTTTATGGAGAAAGAGGGACTCTTTATGATGAACTCTTTCTTCCAGAAGCGGCCCCACAGGAAGTGGACCTGGTCGAGCCCCGACGGTTCGACAAAAAATGAGATTGACTTCATTATGACGACCAAATGACTGTCGGTATATCGAAGTGCTGAAGTGTTAGTACAGTAGGGCTACGATGGTTATCCGAGTACAGAACCGGAGTTCGAAACCTATGCTACAATACATACAATACATAAAACTGCAGAGAGGTGTAAGACAGGGTGACGTTATATACCCGAAACTCTTCACCGCTGCGTTGGAAGACGTTTTCAAGCTACTGGACTGGAAAGGATACGGTATTAACATCAATGGCGAGTACATCACTCACCTTCGATTTGCCGACGATATAGTCCTTATGGCAGAATCACTGGAGGACCTTAGCACTATGCTCAACGACCTCAATGGTGTCTCCCAACGGATAGGTCTTAAGATGAACATGGACAAAACAAAGATCATGTTTAATGTCCATGTCACACCTATGCCGGTAGTTGTTGGGAGCACTATGCTCGAAGTTGTTGACGAGTACGTTTACCTGGGACAAATAGTCCGACTAGGTAAGTCCAACTTCGACCGAGAGGTCAATCGACGGATTCAACTCGGCTGAGTAGCGTTCGGGAAATTACGACACATCTTCTCGTCAGGTATACCTCAATCTCTGAAAACTAAAGTGTACAACCAGTGCGTGTTGCCAGTGATGACTTACGGATCTGAGACGTGGTCCTTCACTGCTGGCCGTATGAGGACGCTCACGGTTGCTCAGCGAGCTATGGAGAGGGCTATGCTCGGAGTTTCTCTGCGTGATAGACTCAGAAATGAGGATATCCGCAGTAAAACCAGAGTGACCGACATAGCCCAACGGATTAGAAAGCTGAAGTGGCAATGGGCCGGCCATATAGCTCGAAGAACCGATAACCGATGGGGAAAGGTTCTCGAGTGGCAGCCTCGTACCGGTAGGCGTAGTGTAAGGCAACCCCCCATTAGATGGAGTGACGACCTGGTAAGACATGCAGGAAGTCGATGGATGCAGGTGGCTCAGGACCGTGCTTTGTGGCATTACTTGGGAGAGGCCTATGTTCAGCAGTGGACTTGTGAAGGGCTGTAATGATGATGATGATGACTATCTCTTAGCAACGACTTCAGAAGAAGTTGTTGCTTCGACAAAGGTATCAAAAACTTACTCTATAAAAGTAAATCTAATGTTGAATAGTATTGTAATGCCTTTTCATAAGAGTTGTTTGAAATTAGCCAAACGAGTTCTTGCGTCCACGTAATGCTTGAAATTTACATTTAATAGTCTAATTTATACCGCTTTTTAAATACACATTACATCCACAACCCATAACTCAAAGGCTTTAATATTATTACTTATAGTAATATTAACAAAAAAGTAAATTCAATGGTAAGAAGTATTGTCCGAACTTTTTCTACGAACAACATAAGCTGGCTGTGACAAAGAAATATAATGGCGCTAGATTGATCACACAAATTAGAAATGGGACCTAAATTCGAAAGACTGGTGATAGTGCCCAGCATTGCCAATGAAAAGTTTCCGACATTATTTACTAAATCGTGTATCTGACCACCGTAATTAGTACGGTGTTCTGTTATCGTACGCCTGTTGGCACATTCATGACTGATGGGATTTGATGAAGGATTAGGCTCAAAAAAGCTTGACTGTGATGAAGAAATTGATGGAAATAATATTAAAGATGGAATAAATAAGGATAAATAATATGCTTTAATTTAAAATATATATTTTAAACATAAAATATTTATCTACGAATTTTTTTTCAATTTTCATATTTATTAAAAATTTACTTATTTTACTTCATTACAATATTTACAATTAATACTAAATATACACAATATATTAAA